TTTTGGTTTTGCCTAAGGACTTTACTGACTTCTGATGAGGCACAGGTGTGGCAACGAGACAGAAAGCCAGTTCGCTGTCTCATGGCATAGGATTTTTCATGTGAAGTTGCCGCGACTGGGCACCTCCGTAAAGGCGCATCCACTGGCACTGGCGGCGGCTCAGAAAGTTCATGGTTTTTGTTTTTGTCTCAGTGTGTGAATTTTTGCGGTAGTGGGGAATTCCTCCGTAACAGGTATGGTGACGAGTTCTGCAGTAGTACCAAGGCAAGTCGTTCTCACTAACAGTGGCTTTCTTATGCTGCCCCATCGATCAGCATGGTACGTCCGAACATAATTGGCTGCCTTTTTGTGGTGTATGCGTTTACTTAAAAACACTGAAAGGACACTTTCAATGTATGACAATTATGGTTAATTACGGCACTTATATACTATTAGGCCATATCAAATTAAGTATAGAATGGAGAACTGTCTGTCTGCAACCTAGGCAATCCGGAACTTCCTACATACTGTTTGTGTGATATAACACATGGAATAGCTGCTTTTCCGGTTTTATAATTTCTTAGTAAATATTTACCCCAATGCAGCTTGTTTTCTCCGATATTTTTAATGTAATGCACACGACTGGTCCAAAAGGAAGTATGCTGTTGAAGCAGTTGCTCTTCTTATTTTTTTTAACAATGTTGAATTTTTTTCTAAAATATAACGAAAATCTTGCGAAAGCGCCATGGCATATTTTCGAGACCAAACAAGTTTGCTTGTATCACACGAGAGTGATCTTTTCAGTGTTTAGTGGTTCTAGAAGACCATATATATTATTAGACACACTCTTACGTTTAGGTATCCAACATTGTCAACAGTATAGTCTATAAGTATAGTTTACGACCTTTTGCAACTAAGTGAACCTGGGTGTGATGCAGGTAAATCGGTAACAGGCGGAATCTACGAGAAGTCAGCTAAACCTGAACATAGTCCTCCGTTCTTAAGGATATTTCCCTGAGCCTTAGCCACTCTACATTCAATACTTTATAAGTTAGAGTTAATTTGCTAGCACTATCTAATTATCTAAGTATTTTTTAATTTTATATTGCGCTGCAGGCATTAAAACCTGTTGATGCAATCAAAAATACGGGTCCTAGGAGATAAGTAAGAAAAAGACAGCATG